CTCCGTGACCAGATCCATTTGTTCAGACCTGTTCACGCGGTGACAATTTTTGCAATTGCAAATCTTAATATATAACCGTCCTGATGCATCTCAGTAATCCAGGTAAAAAATCAAAAAGAAAAAAATTGTATAGGTCTTCTGGATGGGTTCTTCTCTAATGAAACGTTTCGTCTCTCCTCCAAGAGACTTCTTCAGTCTGAGAGTTTCAGGCAAAATTCAGGCTTTTAAGCACTGCCTAAGAGCAGTCCGTTGCAGACAAAGTGGCATTTTCCCCAAGAGCCCGCTTTTAGTTGTCCCCCTCCTTACAGTGCTGCTATTGCCAGTATAACTCCACCCCCTGTTTTAATTAGGTGTCAACGATAGCCATGTGATGTGAGTATCAGTCACATGGAGGCAGGGCTTAAAAGCCTGAATTTTACCTGAAACTCTCATACTGAAGAAGTCTCTTGGAGGAGAGACGAAACGTTTCATTAGAGAAGAATCCGTCCAGAAGACCTGTACAATTTTTTTTCTTTTTTTTAGAGAACCACTTCTCATTAACAAACATGACCTGGCATGCACTGAGTGCATTGCAATATACAAACCTACATATTCAGCCATAGTAAAGTGATTGTAAATTTTAATCACGATTAAAATTTTTAGTCTATGCCCATGCAGCACTAAAATTAATCAGAGTTAACTGGATTAATTTCACAGCCCTAGTGGAAAGCATACTAAAAGTGAACCAATGGCCAAAAGGTGAAAATGGTGTTCGCCAAAAAAAATTCAGATTTATAAAACTGTGTAACCGTATAATTCCTCACTCCACCATCTGTGTCACAGTTTCCCATCTCCAAAACGAGCGTACGCATGTGTCAGACCTGGCCAGTGTTGCCAGGTGTACGATAATTATCGTATTTGTACGATAATTTTGCCCTCTGTATGATGTACGATCAATTATCCCAAAAATCCCATAATGTACGATAATTTCACCGCTCCAATGTGTGACGTAATCGACCCGACACGCTGCTCACTGACATGAGAGGTGGCGGGTTGTGGAACACAGCGGTGCTGATTTAYCGACTTCCTCGCTATATTTACAGACTTTTCAGACCSTCTAGAGACTGTTATTCAGAAAAGTGACTAGTGAAAATCTAGCGACTCTTCTTCTGGTGTTATTGAG